CCCGCCCCCCTCCCCATTCCAGGCCATCAGCATCTCCCCTCTGCAGCCACCTCTGGTGCTGCTCAGCCTCGCTCGGGCTGCGAGAGGTTAACAGATTTCAAACGACTCCTGTGATTAACTTTTCCTAAATCTCCAATTCTTCTTTGCCTTCTATTTTTATAAAAAGAAAAGGGGGGTGGGGAAGGGAGGAGGTGGTATTTACAAGGGATTTCACTCAAATAATGAAATAAATGTGATCAGCCGAGGGACCCTTAATCCGCTTTGACTCTTGCGTCCTGGGGAACGAACACGGAGATCTTTGCTGCCTCTGAGTCCCAGCAACGTGGGAATGAAGCAACCCTGTCCTTGCCTGCCTGGGGGGCTGAGCCCACAGCAACACCTTAAATCAGGCACTGTATTCAGCTAAAAGCACATCAACCAAGGGTTTTTGGGTCAACACCAGATAAAAACACCTCTTTGGTCACCTGCTCCCACCCTGCAGCCAACATGTCCATGCCCAGGCCTGCAGCCCGCTGTGCCGAGGCAAGAACTGGCCATGTCTTTATTTCAGACGGCCAAACCCAGGTAAAACAGCATCTGCTGTGTTCCTGCATCTTCCACCTGTAGCATCACCCGCTCTGATGCTACACCCACAGCACACGCCCGCGAAAGGCAGGAACCTCCCTATTTCTTTAGCCTTTGCTCAATATATTAAACTTTTAGCCTGGAAATGACATGGTTAAACCACTTCAGTATCAAAACGTAAGTGAAAATCATGCAGATGATTCTAACTGGGGAGAAACCTTTGAGCTCCAGCAAGGGGTTTGTGGCTGCTGCAGGGAGCGGTGCCAGGGCTCTGCACCGAGGTGCTGGGAGCTGGTTGAACCCACGGGTCCCTCCACCCCCATCAGAAACACCCCGAGTGAATAAAAGGGATGTGTTTGCCCAAGAAAACCCAGCACGGGGTGATGTAGAGCCACACCTGTGCTACCGCAGGGAGACCTTGTGTAACAGCCTTCCTGATCCTCCTCCCCAGGTCCTCAGATCCACCAACCTCCTCTCTGGGTGACAGCCAGTGCTTCCCTCCCCATCGCCTGCCTCATCCCAGGGGGGACACGGGGTCTGAGTCACCCCTTCTTGGGGGGCAGCAGAGAGGACCCCCCCGCCCCTTCCTCCAGCAGCCCCATGGCAGGGAGGGCAGCACAGACCTGATGTGGGAAGGGTTTCATCCCACCTTCATTTCAGCACAACCCCAGCCACAAAACGTACAAAACAGCTTGTTGGAATAAAACACCAGCTTAGGCTGGGGAGGGAGGAACTAAACACCCCAGCCGTGATTCCCACATATGCCCAAAGATATAATCCAGATTTGCTGCTTGCCCTGGTACCCTTTTTTTTTTTTTTTTTAAAAATAAATTAAAATCTCTTTTTGCTGCCGAGCATAATCAGCATTAGGGCGAGGGGAGGAGGAGCCTGTCACTGTACGCAGCAGAATGACAAATGAAATCACCGCCAGCGCAGGCTGGGACGCTCCCGGTGGCACGGATGCATGCAGCACGATGGCAGCAGCCCCCCAACCCATGAGCTGCATTTGTCACTTCTGGGGCATTTTCTTCATCTGTCAGATGAACTGAAAGGCAGGAGATGCCCCAGTTGGGGGGATGGAGAGGGGGGATTGGGAAGAATCACCCTTCCTCAAGCTTCATATTGAGCCTTGCACAGCTCAAGGTTCAGGGAAAACATTCACATTCTTGGGAAAGCCTGAAGGACCCCAAACCATCTGGCTTTTTGCCTCCCCACAGCCACATGGCCATGGTGAGCATCTGCCAGAGCAGCCTTGGTGTCCTCCAGCTCAACTGGGACAGCTGGGGCCAAACCTCCATCTGAGAATCAGCACGAGCTCCAGGCGAGGGGAGAATGAGACACAAAAATTACTGGCCTCAGCCACTGGCTTATAAGGAATATGCATCTACAAGCCCCACTGGTGTTTCTTACAGCCACTGCTAAATGTGAGGCCAGTGGAGAGCACAACTGGGTGATGCCTCCAGCACGTTACACAGGAGTCCATGGTCCAGCAGCACTGCCAGTGCTGAGAGCCAGCCCCATCCCTCTAACACCCTCCGATGGGGCAGAAACCCCACCTCTGGCTGTGGGGCTTCAGGGACAGGCACACTGCATCCACGCTTCTCCTCGCAACCAGCAAACGAGGGCTGGAAGGCAGATGGCATCTGCACAGATCTAAACCCCAGGGAGATTGTCCTTTCCCTCGTGCTGCTGTGCTCTCCTTGCCTCTGAGCCAAAACACTCCGGATCTGGCCCTGGATGTCAGTGAGTGCAGCACAGGGGGCTGAACCCCTCCCGGCTCCCCAGTGTGACCCAAGGTGGTGTCACTCAGACTGAAAGCTGGGAACAGCCCCTGCAGGTTGTACCTTGTGGGTGGAAGAGCTGGGTTGTCCTGCCACCACTCCCCACGTGCTCCCACCCATACAGCTGTGTCCCTGGGGGACCTGGGCTGGGGTCTCCTGCCTCCCCCTGCGAGGTAATAGCTAACCCAGCCACAGCCCGTCCTGCTTGTCGGGTGACAGGGACAGGCAGGGACACAGGAGAGGGGCCGGGCAGCCCCACAGTGGTGCCCGCCATCCTCGCTGTTGCTATAGAGACAGAAGCTGTTTTTCTCCACAGCAGCGATGCTGAGCGGTACCTTCAGCATGGCAGGCAGCCGGGAGAGAGGGATGAGGGATGCTGTGTGGGGCCGTGCTGCTTGCCTTGCCAGTAGGGCTGGGCACAGCTGCGGCAAAGCTCTGCTGGGCTTCTCCTGGTGTGCCCAGATCCACACTCACCTTGGGGGGGGGTCTCCCCAAACCCTCCCTGTAGTGAGCACATGAGCATCAGGGCCCCCCAGCTCTGGGCACTGAAGCCCAGGGTGAAGGGGTGCAGGCTGCAGGGGTGCTGAGGAGGAAGGTTCTTTGGAGAAACCCTGTGTGGGAGTGAGCTCTGTCCTGAGAACACCACCTTACCCCCGTGAGTCACCCCAACTCACCTCTCCCTGCTCTCTTGCCTTGCTTTGCAACCACATGCTGGGATGAGACCCGTTCAGCTGATGTTACCCACAATGGCAGCTTCTTCAGGCCATGCTCTCCTGATTACACGCGCAAAGACCAGGAGTAACTCCTCCAAAGCCATCTGGGCTCTACCAAAAGCCAACGCAAGCACAAGGAGACCTGGAGCCAGGGACATGGCTGTAGGTGCATCCAGCCTATTTGCAAAGGTTCAATAAAACCTAGAGCTGCAAAATATGAGCTTTCCACAAAGGAATCAGGGCCAAGTCTCCCCCTGCTCCCTGCCTCTTCAGGTACCCACCATCTCCATGTACACGTAGGTGCACGCAGAGACCATCAGAGCTGCAGTAACGTGCCTCCATCCCTCCTAGGGGTGAGGACAAACTCTGCCAAGTGTAATAATGCCTGGAAGGAAGAGAAAGCACCGTAGCTTGATTTTTCACAGAAGTCTTTGCAGGAGAAGGAGGCTGGCAAAGAAAATCCCCGACGGAGGCCAAGCGCAGTCACACATCTCTGCTCCCACCCACGGCAGCACTCCTCGTTTAAACAAGCAGCAGCAGGGGAGGGGGGCAGCAATGACCACCCCCCCTCCTCCCCACTGCTCTGCCTGCTGCTGCACTGACCTGCCAGCCTGGGGGGAAAACCCGCAGGACCCAGTGTCCTGCCCTTTCCTGAACACCCACAGTGACAGCCCTTCCCGAGGGACCCTCGCACAGCCCAGCCCCGGGGAGCTCCACGGGAGGCTCAGCTTTAAAGGACACGTTACCCCCCCTCACCACACTTCTGCTCCAGCCCTGGAGCTGGAGTCAGCATCTCCCAGGGCTCTGTGCTGACATCCCAGCTGGAGACGCGTGCCAGGGATAGATTTTCTGTTGAGTTTCTTTTCATACTAATTATCAAAGAGCGACAAATGTTAGCAGCTTGCAGCAGTCTTGATCTGAATGTCTTCTCCTTCTCACCAACAGCCCCTGTAGGAAGAGACTCCCCAGCATAGATGAGAGCACAAGACCCCACTGGTTGCTCCCTGGCCCTTGCAAGCCAGGTGCATTTTGCTCACCTGGGACAGACAGGAGGACAGCGATGATGGGATCCCTTCATCCTGCAGGATATATCCAGCCAGGGAAGGTGCCGAGTCTGGTAGTGTCCATCACCTGCCAAACATCAAATGCTCTCCTAAAGACAGAGAAACCACAGAGAACTGGAAGGTTCTGTGTAAAATATGGGATTTTCTTAGACAGTTGTGAGGGGTGATCCCTTTCAGAGGCACCACATTGAGCACGGCCATCAGCTGGGTAAAGATCAGCCAGGTTTCAAGTTGGCTGCTTGTCAATAACGGGGAGCAACGACATCGTGGCTGGGCATCAAACTCTATATTCAGTAATATATCGGTACACAGACATCAATTAGCTCAGCCTTGCAATCAAGGAAGGTCAGGAGTACTTTCCCATTTCATACGGAGTGAGACACAGAAACACTCAGTATTTACCTCTGTAGTAAAACAGTCAGTGCTGTGTTGGACTCACCTGGGAAATTCCCATCCACAGCATCATTTGGCAGAATTGTAAAATCATGGCCATGAAGAGATAGGAAAAGACTCTTTGCTGTGTATCTAGACCTGCTTTGCAAAATCACCATGATCCAGCACAACGCCTTTTCAGTTACTCCCTACTAGGATGAGAATGGGCAGCTCAAGTATTTGTCCTTTACCAGACCAAAAGCCCCACACGGACCCTCACAGACCGGAGTTCTGAACAGCAGATGAACGGGGAGCTTCAGCACGACACCTTCAGCATCCTGAGCACCCATCTAGGTCCACCTCATCCAAGGCAAACCATTTCAGTGATGGTTTCTATCCCCCTCGGTCAGCAAGACCGCAAGACCTGCCCCAAGTTGAACACATATCTCAAAGCTACACTGAACTGGCTTTTGTCCCGTCCCTCATGATAAGAACCAAACAGGGCAGGATTTTTATGATTATTTATTATCTGTGAAGTGCCAGCAGTGTCCTGACTCGGTACAAGACACAACTGCCGGGCTTACAAAAAAGAAAAAAGCATTATGGCCAAAATCATTTAGCCTCAAAAAAGTTAACAAACGTGTTCTCAGGAACCTCTCAGGCGCTGCCCATCCTGAGGACATATCAAGGTGCTGATGTGAACCACCCAAACTAGGCAGACATGTAGCTCATTTCTCTCACCCGTAAAGCTTAATTAGTTTCCTGTCCAAACACAGTTTGAGAATACGGCCAAAACACAGGTATGGCCCTTGATTGCTAAAACCCAATCCATTGCAAGAAACATATTTTTTTTTTTTTCAGGTGGGAAAGCAACATTAAAAAACGCCACTACTCATGGAAGTTACAACTGCTTCCAACAAACAACATGTAGAAAATACTGGGAGGGAGACTCTTAAAGTATCTGCTAGTTTCCAGTGGAAAAGCGTCAAGTCCCCCATGTTCACCAGATGGATATCAACATCTGACACGTGTTGGAAGACATCCATATCAACTCCACCAGCCTGAACTGTAAGTAGCCGAAGACAAAGCCAGACAGGACATCTGTGATGTGGTGCCGTCCGATCATGACACGGGAGAAGCCCACGCAGAGGGCCCAGAGGACCAGCAGGATGCGGAGAGGGATGGCCAAGACTAGGTGGTTGAGAAAGAACTTGGAGAGCATGGCTGCTCGGCTGGCGTGCCCAGCTGGAAATGCGTAGGTGTCCATGGTCAGGTAGTCCAACAAGCCAGGGGTGATGTCGTATGGACCCTTCCGCTTGGCCAGCTTCTGCAAACCAGCCACAATCATGATGTCCAGGAGCAGGGCTACAAAAGGAGAGACAAGGAGGGAAAGGTCAGAGACAGAAGCAGAGTCAAGGGCAATTTTTCAAGGCAGAACATTCAAGGACTGTCACTGTCTTTAAATAAGGTTTGGGTTCAGTTTCAGCCAGGTGCCCATGGTTCAGCTGCATGAAGCAACCCCTTCTTCAGATCACCACCCAAATGTTACTTAACACCCCCAGTTCACCCATGGAGAAGACAAGTACCATTATCACCGTCTCACAGAGGAGAAACCCAAACCACAGAGGCAAGCGATCCACCTGGGGAGGAAGAGAGCAACTGGCAAAGCTAAAATTAAAACTCTTTTGGCCCTCAAACCACTGGGCTGGGTGGCTCCGTTTCTGTCCTCCACCCCATGCTTTAGAAACCTCGTGCAGCAAGGAGGTATCCCTGCCCGGGGTGGCTCTCTGCCGGGGTGACCAGGCTGCAGTGAGCGGTCGGTGGGAAGAAAGGTGCCCAACAGCCCTTTCTGGTGTTGTCCCTTGTCCTCTCCCAAGCCTGTCACCTCCCTCCTGCCCAGAGCCAGCCAGCGGGGTCACACCACATGGGCAGGTTCCACTAAGAAAAGAGCATGAAGAGACAGTGAGCCAAGGGGAAAGCCAAAAGAGAAAAAGGGCTTCTGCATTAGAAACAACACCTTGGGGTGTTGAAGTGGAGGACACGCAACACCCTCCTAGACGTCCCCCACTTGTCCCTCTCCCTTTGCCAAAGCGTTGAACACCCACAAGCCATTTCTTGCTTCTACTCGCCTCTTGCTCCCTGTGGCTTTCCCTCTGCGAGTCACCCCATGCACCCCCTTCCCTGCATGAACGTGTTTAGGGGGTAACACACCTCCCAGCATGAGCTGGGCCATCCCTGCAGCCACAGGTCTCAACACCAAATTGTCCTTTCTCCCTCACTGCTTTGGGAGCGAAACCCATCAGCACTTGTCTTCATCATCCTCCTCTTCATCCCACCCCCTTGGCCCCAGCCGACAGGCACTGTCATTTCTATTTCCCAGCATCGATTTTATTTTTCTTTAATCCCTTCATCTGCTTTCCCCCAGCCCTCCTAATTAGTCAGAGTGCTGATTTCAGCTCCTCGCAGCAGTGACAAGGAAATATCTCCCGGCATCAGCACAGCCTGCTCCCTGGCAGGAATGCGAGGGGCCAGTTGCCTGGTTCCTGATAAAGACCCTTCCTTGAGAGCTGACAAGGTTTCAGGAGGATGGATGGGAGGGTGGTGGGGATGGGGAAATGAGCTGGCACATGGGAGGCAGGCAGCTCCTCCTGCCTGCTCGGCACCTGGCAAGAGCTGGGAGGCGAGAAGCTGTCACGGAAGCTCTGCTCACCCTCCTCTGCTCAACCCGCCCTGGCATCCCTTGGGGAAGGAGCTGATATTTAGCCTGGCCAAACTCTTTCCTTATTCTTCTGTTTTTCTATTTTTCTTCCCCATCCGCAGGGCATCTAGCATGGGGATAGCAGACAGCAGGACCTCCCTGGACTTCCTGCCCACCAGGTCCCACCTGGACCACTCCTGGGCTCTCAGAGCTGCGAAGGGGAGATGGAGCAGAGTAAAAGGTCTGGGCACCAGCTCCTCACTAGCAGGAATGGTGGCACAGGCAGCAGCGGGACTCCAGCTCAGACACAACAAGAAGCAGGAGGCTGACATGAAGGAAAGGTCCATAGGTGGCATCTGAAACGAGGTGGTGAAGCTCCAGGTGGCAAGATGCAAGGAGGTTGCTCAGGACACTGGCCCTGTAGTGGCAGAGATGGGCTTCAGAGGACAAGGACAGCTGGGGACTCTGCAGAGAGCCCCCCCTGGGGACCAGAGATGGGGAGAGAGCAGGGGGAGAGCTGCATCCCGCAGCCCTTGTGTGAGCAGAGCAGGTCTCTGGGCTTTAAGATTCACCAGTATTATTTTAAGGGGCTGGTTGAGGGGGAGAAAGGGAGAGGGGGATTTCAATCCCAAGCTGCAGAGCCCTGGAGCAGCCAAACGAGGCAATTAAGGCCGAATGCCATCAGCACGGCTCAGAGCCACCGAGGGCAACAAAGCACTGGGGCTGCTGGCCATCACAGGGTTCTGCTCACGCTGGGCTTCCTAGATCACCCCCATCCCAGCTCCTCACCCCATCAAGGTGACCCCCTACGGCCCCAATTCAGCAAAGTGCTTCTGGAGCTGATTTTTCAGAGCTCATCGGCTGCACTGCCCACGAGTCTCATCTCACCCTGGACAAGCACTGGGCAGGAGCCGACGCTCTGGGACGCTATCTCAGGAGCTCAAACTCCTGCATTCATTTCAGAGAGCTGATGCACCAACCCTGCCAAGAGAAGACTCTGGCCCGAGCTGCTCCTGCTGAAGTCAGCAGCTTATTGCATTGCAGAGGAGCCCAGCCAGGGCTCAGGAACCAGTCTGGGCACCCCGAAGGATCCCCAGTGTCTCCCACGGTGCTCAATGCCCCCACTACAGACCATCGCCCACCAAACCCACCCCCAGATCACTAGCACAAACGTTGTGTGTTTGGGGACACGTGGTGTTCACCGTTGCACAGCAGTATTTTGCACTTACATGATTTTTTTTTCCAGTCAAAGGTGATGTCAGGGCAAGTTGAGGGATGCAGGCATGTGCCCACGGAGGTGTTCAGAGAATGGAGAACAAGCAAAGAGCTGCTTTAATAATCCTTTCATTCAGAAGACGAATAAAATGGGCCTTCAGTACTGCTAGGTTTGATTTTCGTCAAATGATGCACAGAAAGCAGAAAGCCTCGTTTGCCTACATTTCAAGATCTGAAGGCATGACAGCATTAAAACCAGGGGTTAATTTGCCGTTAAAAGAAAAAAATAACAAAACAAAACCAAAAACCCAAAGATCCCTCCGTCTGGTGCTTTTTCTGTCACTTCCCCCTGCGCTTTCTGTTCCTTCCATGAAGCAACTTCCCTACAGAACAGCCCCAGCTGCCTGCCCTGCCCCGGCCTCCGAGGCACGGGGGGGTCCCACCGCCCTGGCCCAGCTCTGGGGCTCAGCAGAGCCCTGCAAAGCCCCGGGGAGCTGCACCGTGCCCCTGCCCTCTCCTCCTCCTCCTGCTGCGGCTGCTGCCAGCGGGCAGGCGCTGCCGGAGTGAATCAGCACCCGGCGCTGCTGCCAACGGCACAGCCTCCAGAAACACCTACAGACGGTGCCATCGCTCTGCAGCCCCATCCCAGGCCCTGTTCCTTTCCAATTTCTTGAGTTACATACCCGCCTGGATGTCGGGTCATAGAATCATCACCCAATTCCACCCCCCAGCCCTGCCATGGGCAGGGACACCTCCCACCGGACCAGGTCGCTCAAAGTCCCGTCCAACCTGGCCTTCAACACCTCCAGGGATGGAGCATCCACAGCTTCTCAGTTCCAGTGTCTCACCACCCTCACAGTGAAAAATTTCTTCCTGATATCCAAATCTACCCTCTTCCAGTTTGAACCCATTATCCCTCGTCCTATCGCTACATGGCCTTGTAGAAAGGTCCCTCTCCAGCTCTCTTGGAGGGTCCCTTCAGATACTGGAAGGTCATGACTTGCTTTTTCCCCTTAATGCAAACCAAATCCTCCCTCCATCCATCCTGGGCACACCCATCCTGCAGCTAAGAGGTTAATTTTCTCATAGGCATCCTTGGTGGGTCCAGCTGCAGGTGGGTGTCTCTGCACTGGGAAAGGCACCTGCTGGCTACCAAAGTGGTTGCACTTGAAGCCCCTTCACCTTGCACCCTCCCCCAGTGCAACCCCAGCCACCTGCAAACCAGCATCGTCACCTTGGGTCTGCCCTTCCCCTGTCCCTAATACAGAGATCCCTGCAAATCCTTCAGGCCAAGGCAACCGAAGGCTGGAGGAAATACAGCCCCAGGAGAGCCTGGAGAAGGGAGCTGCAGCCCATTCACCAGCCTGCACTCACACAACGCTGCTCTCTGGAGACAGACAGGGCTGCCAGAGGCGTAGCAGAGATGGCAGAGTGCCACCTGACCGGGGGATGAGATGCGAGGAACAAGAAATTTTCATTTTAAGCATTTTTTCATCGTGCCTTTCCCCCGAGGTTCCAGGTAGCATTGGATTTAAAATCCAGGTAGCGTTGGATTTCAAAGAGCAAAGGAAGGATTAGCTCTCACCCATCGCTCCTTTTATGATCCAGAATTTACCCTTTAACCTGGTGTTTAGGGAAATAATCCTTCAGATTTCTGCTGCAAAACCATCTGATCACAAAAAGGTCTGCTAACATCTAGAACTTCCTTAAAGCGCAAACCCAAAGAGCAAGTCTTGTCTGCCTGGGACAATTTTAGCATCAGAGATCACCTTGGTATTGTAAATAGCCAACATCTGGCATCAGACGCACAGTAAATGAGCTGAAAGTGAGCCCCCTGGGCAGACGTTTTATATCTATTAATAAAAGGAAAACAATTATCTGCCTTGCTCCTACCACCAAATGTTAGGAGCCCATTAAGAGTGGAGGGAGAGCGAGCCCGGTGTGAGGAGGGCACAAGGACGAACCTCAAGCATCACTTCAGCAGAACCAGACCCAACCCCAAAGCTGGTATTTAAGGGAAATTGAAACAGTTGGACGTCCCCTGTCACTGTAAGGTCCTTTCTGTCCCAGCACCCGAGGTGCCATCTCTGGAGGGGGACAGGAGCTGAAAGAGGCTGAGGATGGGGCGAGCACTCTCGGGTGCATCTCCTGCCCCAGGTCGGAGCCAGGCAGTGTCTCCAGGGAGGGAGGCAGATTCCAGTTGAGATGTTTATATAAACATGTTATCAAAACCACAGCTGAAAAACAACCTGGGTGAACAGCGGCGGGGGGGAGGAAAAAAAAAAAAAGGAGAAAGCCAAAAAAGCCCTTGGCCTCGTCTGCTCCCGCAGCCGTGATTCACATGACTTCACGCACATGGGGCTGCTCAGATGAGACAAGGCAGCTCTCCAGAGCCCAGCCTGTGAGACTGGGATCAGAAACAGAGTCACAGGCTGGACTCGGTCTCCCAACG